TCCTTCCACATCAATCCCACACATATAATGTTTTTGCAGTAGATAAGACAAGATGTAACTAAGGAAGAAATAATTATTGGCTCAGGAAATATTGTTCATTTGTTCCTTACTACTATCACTACCTCTGAATACAACCCTACCTTGAGGAGCACTCTTAAATTGAAAAAGTGTGATGGGTCTGGGAGAATAAAAACTTTATTCATTCAACTGTTTCCTTGGCATCAGCATTTAATTTCATCTTCTTTTCCCTCATCATCCCTTTAATGAAACTGAGCAGTATTTCAGAGCACAATATGGACTTAGATGATAACAAGTGGTAGAGATGTTTGTCATCAGTATACATTGTCTATCTAAACCTCCAAATGATCCCCCCCACCCAGCAGTTTTTCAAATTTGAAACCACATAGGAGACAAGTCAACCACATAGGAGTTGAACAATATCCACTGGCATAACATTATAAGTGTGTTCTGACAGAAAGACTGAAAGTGGCAACTGGACTTTCTGGTTTTTCTTTGAAGATGTTTTGCTTCTCATCCAAGAAACTTCTTCAGCTCTGTGGGACAGAGGCAAGAGCAAACCACTTCTGAAATTTTGCCAAGAAAACTGCAGGGACTTGTCCAGATAGTCACTATGAGTCAACACTGACTTGAAGGCACACCCATAGTTATACCCAAAAGCTGCTATACTAATTCCAGCCATATTCTTAGACTCTGTTACCTGGTGGGCAGAGCTCCCCTTTTCTTAGCCAGCTTCTCCATTATGTATGCCAGGACAATACTTTACATCCTGGATAAGTTGCTACTTATCCAGATCTAAAGGTCTGGCTTTTTAAAAAGTTGCTACTTATCCAACATTTTTTTAAAAACAGACCTTTAGATTATAGGGGCCAGCTAAACTATTATCTATGTTTCTTTGATTAAACTGCAACCGAAAGAAAAAAAGACGAAACACTACTGTGACATCTATTCACAGCACCCCCAATTTTATCATGTTTCTAAACTGCACATGGATATGGAAAATGGGACAACTTATAGCTTCACTATCCCTTTCTGCATGTTTGATGAAACATGCATTACAGCACAAAATCTTCTCCTTACATTCTTGAATGAGATAGAAAAGGGTGGAACTTGCTTTGTGACATCAAAATACAATTTTCAGTACTGGCAGGATCATTCAGAAGTTAAATGTAGGCATTTACCACAATGGGTTAAGGCTATCACAATAGTTTGCTGAATCAGATCAATCAAGATTCTTTTATCATCATGACCAGCCAGCTGCTTATAAATACGCAAAACCACCGTCCTACTTATATCCCCAGAAACTTGCCTCACAAGATACATTGCTTTTTTTTGACCAGCACTTAAATTACTTGATGAGCTAACTGAATGCTGGTTGTTTCTATAAACAATGTACTGAATGTGTGTTGTTGTATATTTATATAAGAACTCCTCCTTTTGTTCCTTGTCTTTTGCACTGCCTACAGGCCAGGCAACAAATTATTTCCACTTAAAAAGACAGAATGGACAATTAATTCACCAAGTTTATTTTTGGAAAATGAATACTTGATGACCCAATGTGGGTTTTCGCTTGAGCCTTCTCATGGCCACGAAATAGAAGGAAATTGAGTAGCATCAGTCCTTGTTATGGACTGTGTTAACTCTCCTAACTGGCCATCAACCATTTCTCCATTTCTGCTATTTGTATCTGGCCTCTCTTCCATGAACTCAAAACAGCATACACAGAACTTTCTCCTCCAGCATTCCCTCACAGCAACCCATGTGTAAGTAGATTGGGCTGAAAATGTGACTGGCTTAAAGTCACCCAGCAAACATCTATGCTTCCAGAGTGAACTAAATAATATTGCCTTACTTTATTGAAAAGGAATGTAATGATTTCATGATCAGTAGTCGCAAAGATGATTGTATTCTGAGCTGATAGAAGAATAAAGTTTCAGGCCTTTTTCAGATATATAAATACTTGTTCCTTTTTCAAAAGTCCTTCTTTCAGTTCCCCATTTGCCTTCATAATAGCTGTGCACTGAATTTTGTCCTGCTAGATCTTTTTGTGGTTTCTTGAGTCTGGATGAGGCAACAAGGCTTTTCATTCCAATTGTACAGCAAAGGACTTTGGCAATCCTGCTTTTGGACAACAACCTTGCCCAACTGGCTATTGCTATCCTGACATTTTTTGGTGTTTAAAGGTCTATTTACCCATTTGTGCGTTTGTTTTCTAAATTACTTAATTGCACATCTGTTTTGTGGTTTACATAGAATAATTATAGTCTCTAGTTCACTTATTTTTTGTGGAAGAAAACTCAAGTAAAACATCTAGAAGTAGCTGTAGAGTTCACTATTTACATTTATCTTGAAAGAAATTTTGCTATACATTTTAGCTTAAGCTGACTGGTGTTAAAACTTCAGGTGAGGAGAAAGGCATTTGAGTGTTTCTCAGAAGATAGAGAAGAAATTAGTTCATGGCCCAAATTGCATGTCAAAATGAACGATTCACTTTTACATATAGATAGTGCCAGGTCATCTTCAATCAAGAAAAAGCAATGGATATCATCGGATACTGGTATGCCACCGGGCTGTAATAATAAAGAAATGAGTCATCCTATATTAAGTAAGGAAATCATTGTCCTGAGAAATGATCCATTCCTCTCTTATCAATGGAGTTAAGAAAAAGTAATGTCAACCTGCACCTGAGGCTGGTTGAACAAGGTTCAGGAGGACAGCATTCACATTTAGCAAGACAATAATTGTATTGCCTTAAAAAGGTTATTAAAAAAACTAGTTCAGGTCAAGTATTAGAAGAGGTACTGAAATTTGGGCCAAGAGACCTAAAAATAAAAATGGGGCCACTGGTATTTATTTTGAGAAAATACGTCCCTCATGATTACTATTTTTCAGTTTGATTCATCTCATAAAGTTGTTGTTAGTGTAATATAAAGGGGAAACCTTGAGCTCCTTGTGATAGAATTATGATGCTTATGAAATTATTTGACAAACCAGCAATTTTATTCCATGCTATAATTCCAAAGTTCCCCCCCAAAAGTAGGAAATGTATAATTCTCTAGATTTCTTTGAATTCTAATCACTATCAACCTCAAAGAGGGCAGCCAGTTATTAGAAATACAGGAACTTTGGACTTAAGCAATAACTGCAGTGTAGAATCCACAGATGTTTCCCCCTTATTCTAAATATATCAGTACACCAAAATGAAGAATGTGAAGCCTATATGTGGAGCTTCTTCCTAGCACCAACCTATTATTTTTCTAGTATTCACATGTAAATTCACTTGCTTGACTCTGTCTACAGAAAAACATGAGTTCTGTGGATCAAAACTTCCTTAAGTACAAATTCAATTTCTTTCAAAAACCATGGGGGTTAGCACATACTTCTAAAAAACTTTATGTTGGAATCATCTGTCATAATTGTGAAGCTTACAACCAACCACAACCACACTGCCAAGAAAATTACATGGCTGTGTCCAAAGACTGAATCTGACTTGAAAGAAACTTTACCTTATCTATTTAAGTTGAAACTCAAATTTTATTACAGATTGATTGTTTACTTCAAGGTTTTTATGAGGGAGAACTCCATGGCTTTTTTAAATGTGAGGATGTATTTTCACATGTGGGAAGAACAAAGGGGATGAAAGTTAGAACCATATGTGTAAACCAAAGTTAATCAACAGCACTGGTCAAACTATGCCTTACATCATGCAAAGTTCTTAATTGGAGAAAATATGTAGCTCAGAGTTGAACTGTGGAGTCCTTGGTGATCTCTGAGCTTGGTTGTTTTCCTTGCATGGATTATGTTACTTGGTTGTCTGCAGGCAAAACAACCAAGCTCATCGAGCGCTAAAATTCCCTGATATCAATAATGAATGATTTTTTTAAAAAAAGGTTAGAATGAAGAATTACATGGAAGATTTTCAAAGCACAGGGAAGAAGTTAAAATAGATTCTTGCTAAAGTACTTATTTTATTTTATTTTATTTTATGCATTACTATTACTATTAATCCTCCCTTCCTTTCACCCATCTCCTCCCACTTATGACTGTATGACCGTAATTTTGCTGCTTGTATCCTAACAATTTATATTGACTGTTTCCTAATATGATTTGATTGCTTATTGTACCCTATGACTTTTATTAAGTGTTGTACCTGATGATTCTTGACTCTTGACGAATGTATCTTTTCTTTTATGTACACTGAGAGCATATTCACCAAGACAAATTCCTTGTGTGTCCTATCACACTTGGCCAATAAAGAATTCTACTCTATTCTACTCTACTCTACTCTACTCTACTCTACTCTACTCTACTCTACTCTATTCTGGTTATCATACAGTACAAGATTATAGATCATTTTTTAGAAAGCTCATGTCAACATATGCAATACCTTGTACTTGCCCAAGTGGCTTTGGACAACAGCCTCTCGCATGACATCGCAAAAACCTTTTGAATTCTAAACACTTTTTAAAAGAGTGGTTGTTTTGTCAGATCTGGAGATGGTACACTATGAGAGAGCAGAAAGTAACCCAGATTTGGATTGTCACTGACAGAGCCACATTCAATTGACAAAATTCAATTTTACTTTGCATAAAATATGTATATACAAATTCCAAGTTATTGCAATTGAGAAGAAAAGGGTAATGATTATCATCGCAAAGTTTCAGGCTTCCTTTTAAAAACATATCTAGAGCTGAAAATTCAAACGATCCCTTGGAACTGCACAAAAAGGGTCATTGGCATCCTCTGCCACAGTCAATGGCAAAACATTTATGAAAAGTGTGTAAGTTATGTAAGACGAAACCCATGAGTTGTACATCATCATGTCATAATGCACATTCTGACATTTTCCCCCTCTTGCCTCTCCCCCCTCTCCAGACACCTATGAGAAAGGTCAAATTATAGGGCTGTGAAGATTGTGAGCCTCAAAGCAGAAATAGAGATAGAATCTTAAACTCAAAGTTTATTCTACAATATTTTTTTTTAAAAAAGAGTGCAATTTTAAAAAGAGCATTACAATTTAAAAATTCCTAATATGTAAAGAGAAAGTAATGATTCTGCCAGTATACAGTAAATGTACATGAAGGCTCTCTGACTCTATCCAAAAATATTCCTTGACAAAACCATATAGAAGCAAAATCTTATTGTTTGAACCTTACAAAAAATTGACCATCCCATTGGACTTGAGAATATAAAAATAGTTTAGGCTCTTGATCTCTAGCAATTGTTTTAGCAGTGAAAATGAAAATATAGTTTAAGGGATTGCAATTTGGTCTACAGACAGAATATAGACAAACAAAATGGAAGCCAACCTGAGAATTATTTAGACTAAGAGTGCTCAATGTCTTCATTTACTGCAGCTAAAGTCCAAATAAATCATTAAAAAAATAATTTATGGAAGAAACCTATTCAATGGAAGAGAGCAAGGTTATATACATAAGATCTAAGGCACTGACACTAGCTAACAAATTCCATCAGAAGATACAGGAAAGCTGTTCCTTTGAGAACTAGGGCAACTTTTGTCCAGTGAAGTAGAAGCCATTGGACTAAACTGTTTAATGGGTGAGCTAAGCATATGACACCCGGTTCTCTTTCTTGATACACCTACAATACTAGGGGTTTTTCTTTGCTTAAGCTCATATGACTTAAATAATTTTGGAATAGATAGTTGCTAAATTATCCTACTATTAGGACAAAGTAATCTTATAAAGTGATGGCTGTGTCTGGCTATATGGCTTTTATTTTCTTTATTTCACTTCAAAAAGAAGATCACCTTTGCATACATTCCACCTACATGGCGGTGTTTTGTTTTGATTAAATTTAGGCTTTGCTTTCCACAGTAAAAATCAACTGAATCCTTGACTGTGCTTGACATGTAGATTGCTGTTCACTTTAATGTTTCATCCTGGCTAATAATCTGGAATACACAGGAGCTGGAAAATAAAACAAAAGGGTGGGGGGAGAAGAACCAGTTTTAAAACACAAGTCATGTTATTTGATCTCTCACAGAAATTTGCACTAAAATTAAAATCAGTATTCAGGTATTGTCTCTGTTCCAGGCTAATTGATACTCCAGTGGGGTCAGAGCTCCTATAATTCTCTTTAACTGTAGACTATGTTGCTAAGAGCATGTAAGGGGCTATGAGGATAACCTTGAGGGAGACAGGAGGAATTGCCCTGAGCCTAGACAACAGCCTGATAAACAAAATCTGAGTGAAAAGGAAAGCTAAAGATAGAATGAGATCTTACAAAGGACAAAACCACCCCCACAGCCCAGATAACAGGAATTTAAAAGGCAGGGAGGGAAGTACAGTCAGACTTAAAGATTCTGTTACTATAACCTTATAATACAAGTAGTATTAGTATTTATAATGTGAGTTTCCTTGTCTGGACTACCTTGAAGAGTTAAGGGGGCATATAAAAATTGTGAGTTTACAATAATTTGCTTTCTATTAGTCTAGTTTGTCTATTTATTCGGAAAACTATTCAGCTATAATGATGTCCAGTGATCAACAGAATGTTCATCGATCCACATTTTAGATCAGGTTTAGACATGGAGCAGAATTAGGAAGAAATATAATGACAGAATCAATTATACTCACTACAGAGTGCAAGTGAGGGGGGAAATGTATGGGTTTTTTTAAAATCTTCTAAGTGAGTTTAGAGCTGGTCTCCTTGATGTGGTAATTTTTAAACAGATTTTTAAATAGCAATGTTAATAATAATATACATGCTAAATAATATACATGCTAAATAATATACATGCTAAAACTTCTTGTTGCCTTTTATGAAAATGCATCTGAAAGGGATATTTTTTTTCCTCCATCAAGACAGTGGAGTATTCAAAATAGGACATTTATTTTATTTAATTATTGATAGTATTTATAACTTGCCCCAATCCCAAAAGACTCTGGGCGATATCTACATTTAACAAAACAACATTACAGGACAAGTTATCGAGTCAATAGGTATGATAAGAGCAATGGAAGCTTTGCTAAAAGAATATAGCTTATATTTGTTTACTGAAAGCTTGTTATTGACACTTGGGGAGCAGAAAAAAGGTTTTCAAGGATGAGAGGCTACCTGTGAAGGCTGCTGTCCAATCCATCTTCTGTGTCCTTGTGGGCATGGGGAAGACATTGTGTGTGTGTTTGTGTAAGAGAGAAAGTGTCTATGGAGATTCTCAGTCATCCAAGACGTGATTTTCCCAAAGGTGCTTTTTCAAGAGGCAACTGAAAAAGCCTTTCGGGTTTTTTCTTTTGAGCTGAAGAAGCTTCTTGGATGAGAAATGAAACGTCTTCAAAAAAAAAAAAATCAGAAAGTCCAGTTGCCTCTTGATAAAGCACTTTTGGGTAAGAGAGAAAGAGATAAAGGAAAAGAGTGCTTTAAGAAGAGCATTATATTAGCTTAGCTTTTATGGTTGTATTGTGTTTTCTGATTTAACATAATTCTGAGCAGACTGAAGACTACTAAACTCTTTCAAATAAGAGTTTAAGAAAGGTGTAGTAGCCATAGGCTGAAATAACATAATCCATTTTGCTATTTAACAATTCTACCCTTTCATTCAGATACATTGCTAAATCAAGTTTACTCTTAGGTTCTGGCAGACGAAAGAAACAAATTTGTTAAGATTTTGGATAAGGAGAATCTCATCACTGAATGACAATGAAAATTAAGACTAACAATTAAGTCATATAGACAATTAATTTATAGATTTTTACAGTCTATAGTCTATTTTTATAAATTATGACAAACAACTATTTTGGAACTTGGGTAATGCACTCTATATCTGCTGTCTTGGGACACTACAATCATTTGCAGGTTGACTCAGATATTTATGCCAGTGTGTTATGATCATGACAGGCCTTTGCCTTATCTTTCCTTGGCTATATTTGCCAAGTTGTATTTGACAAAAAGAGAATTAATAGTATATTGGCTCCTTAAAACAAAATTATACAACACAAGCTAATGTCGAGATTCTTAACAATATTACTTCTTGCTGATTGCACTAGAGGTAAAAGTATGTATGTATTCCTGTGTGTGTAAAGATTATGCAAGACTGTAAAGAAGATCCATGTTGAACCAGACTGAAGGTGAATTTAGTCCAGCTTCTGTCTTCACAATGACCAGGTAAATAGCAATAGCAATACCACTTAGACTTATATACCACTTCACTGTGCTTTACAGCCCTCTCTAAGCCATTTATAGAGTCAGCATATTGCCTCCACCCATCAGTTGGGTCCTCAACTTACTGACCTCAGAAGAATGGAAGACTGAGTCAACCTTTAGCCAATGAGAATCGAACTGCTAACTGCTGGCAGTCGGCAGTAAGCAGAAGTAGCCTGCAGTACTTCATTTTAACCACTGCGCCATCACGGCCCTTTCATGCAAAATAATGCCTCTGACAAGAACATAAATTGGATAAAATAACACAGTCCTACTTAGGCTTCCTAGCACATGAATTTGAGACCATTCAGCTCTGATAGAGTTATTATTTTGCTTAGGCATCCATTCATTATCTTCCATCAACTTACAAGTTGAAATATAAAATCATCTCAATCAATGCCCCTTCCTTCCTACATATGTACACTATTTATAAATACAGCTGAATTTTGGACTGCCATGTGCCAATATGTCTCGGAAATTATTGCACATCTCAATTTAAGGCTAATGCAGGTTCAGTAAATGCTCTGGTGTTGTATACAAAAGGATTTATGCTGTTACAGAGATGGCAACTTCTTGGCCCAGTGTTTCTCAGGGAGTCTTGTGAGCTAAAACCCAGTCCAGTCGTTTCTTAGATTTCCATCCGGCTGCACAGTTAATAGCTATAAGCATTGTTGTACAAATTATTGTTGTATAAACTCTGATTATTATTTTTTTAAATGATAAAATATGTGTTGAGGTATTGTGACACAGACCGCATTTTAGCCATAAGTTTTTTGTTTTGTTGTCACTTCAGAAACATAGGTTTTGTTTTCCATTCCCCTGAGGATGCTTGCACTTGTATATCCAAGAAGAAAGTCCATAATCTTATTTCATATTATTAAAGAAGGCAAAATATGTCACATACCGAGCCGAGCATCCCTTAGCGAAATCTGTCAGGAACAAAAGGGAAAAACATCATTGAGCAAATAGAGGTCCAAACCCAGAGAAAGTCAGGCAGTATCTGTGTGCCTTTCAAAGACATCATTTCTTGCTGTCCTCTTAACTCAAAACAATTTCAGACTGTTAGGAAAACTTTCAGAGACGCTCTGGGCTACACAAAGCTTCCATTAGAAAAGAATTCTTGCAGAAGAACAGAGCATCCAGGGGGATATTTTGGATTACAGGCTACGTAGCCCTTGCAAGTAAGGTTGGAAAATATTTAATTGAAATGTTAGCCTGCTACAATCCAGCAATTCTCAGAAGCGTAGTAATGTAAAACATCCATGGCACAGTTAGTAATCAGTATATAATAAAGTAATTAAAAGGATTACAGGCTATCTCTAAAACCAGTTCCTGTAATTTTCTTCAACAAACAAAGCTCTCTGAAATAATTTGGCTTAACTGACTTCTGGTGGGCAGGAAGTGACCCAGTAAATCTGATTGCCCAGGGAATACTTGGACACTACAATGGCTCTACTCAGCAAAACTCCTTCCTCAGCCTCAACACTCCAATGTTGGAAAGCAGGCCAATTCATATCTCGGGGTTGTCACAGGGAAGACAGAAGGAGAAAGCATTAGCCTATGAAAAGTGAGATATAAATCTAGCAAGAGACAAATAGGCTGGATGGTTTTGTCAATGGCTACAATGACCTTCTGATCTAAGGAAGCCAGTTCACTTACAAGTTTAAGACTGAGATTGTAGATAAAGACTAAAGCAGATAGGCACCAGGATATTTCTTAAACATGAAAGTTGACTGGATGTCTTTGGGCCAGTTACTCTCCAACAGCTCAGCCTACCTCACAGGTTTGTTTTTGTGGGGCAATCAAAAGGAGAAAGGATCATTTAGGTATGTTGAAGAAAAATAATAAAGGTGGGATCTGAATAAATAATCTAATTATAATTATATATGTTGAGCCTGTTCAGGAAATACTTTCCAGCCTAGTTTTTTGTATGCAGAAAGATTAAAACTGAATCTGGATTTTGCACAACTCTTTCTGATTCTCTCACAATGCATGTGTTTGTGAGTGTGAGGGTGTATGTGTGGACACACAAATGAGGGAATTGCATTTATTGGTTTTATCGGGGAAAAAATGCCTTGATCAAATAACTGTAAATCAAATGACAATTTTAGAAAAATATATAATGATTTAAGCATTATATATACCTTGGATAATGCAGAAGCATGCTTGAAGATTTCCAGAGAAGGATCTGCAGGATCATCGCTTCTTTCATTATGCTTAGAAGCTGAAAGGACAACATTCAAATATATTAAAAAAAAAAAACCTGTATTCTCTAATTCACAAATCAGAACTCTTTATTTTATTGTATTTTATTATTTTATTATAATATTTTTCTTTGGAATTTATGCAATGTGCAGTGTTGACCAATACATATTTTTACAATAAAATTAATGGAAACCTGGCAAAAAAAAATTCAATAGTATTCTGGATCAGTACCCTGTCCAGATTAGGAAACACCTAAATAGTCCACACAGATTACATAATAGCTGCACCCTGATGTCCGTTTTTTAACAGTGTTTCTGAATCAGTCACTGGTCCACTCAGCAAGGCCTACCATAATAACAATTTGTTCCCAAGGTTTCAGCTGGAAGTCTTATCCAGATGTATCCTGCTGATTTGGGACAGATAGAAAAGGCAGATAACTATTTCCTAACCCGATGCCTATCCTTCAGAGGAAGCTACAATTCCTTTAGTGTCAGCCTCTTGGCTGCAGAAAGTTGTAATTCCCAATATTGTAGAGTTGATTTTCATTAGTGAACATAAATATGATCACTCTGTTCAAGAATTTGGGTTTTTTAATCTATTTTTTTCAACCAAATGAAAGGTTTGCAGCTGTAACCTCCAGCTTGAAGGAGTATCAAAAGGTGCTGGCAGTTTTGAGGGCAGGAAAAGGGATTGTCACAAAGTAGATAAGAGTAACATTAGAGTTTGAATAGCAAATAATATTTTTTTACAAGTTAACCCCTGATCTTTTTGTTGCTCCTCTTCTCCATCAAACATGTACAGGACCCACAAATCAGCAGAGGTACATAACTAAAGCCACATTAGAATCCATATGGAATAAGCTAACAAGCCAAGCAGAGAGTTTTCAAGAATGAGTTTGCTAAAGGCCATTCTGAAAACAGATAAAGTATACAAAAGTGCTTTGGGAGAGAGGAGGATCGCCGATAAGCTGCATGGAATGGCTTTGTGTGATTCCCAGTAAAAGTGCCTGATCAAAGGAAAGGTTACTCTTTCTTTTTCTAATCAACTAATTTCTGTCTGGCAAGAGTGTTTGTTTCAAATAAGGCTGCAGGAATGGGTGCAGATAATGTATGAAACCAACTTGAGCAAATCACTTGCTTGTAAACTTTTGTATGCACCCTGTGATCAAACAGTTTTAGAGACCTCTTCAGCTGTTGTTTTGCAGTGAATTGGGGTTAAGAAAGGGTTCCCCAAGCTTGATTGTCCTTTTTGAAGAACGATGGATGTAGTTTCCGAGCAACTCCTGCGTGGGATTCCAGGCTCAGGAGCTTACATTTGAAAGCCTCGTACTAGTCTCAACCTTAGCACCCAATGTGTGACAGCAGAGACAGATTTCCATGTGTAAGGATGTTATCATGAATTGTTCTTCTGATCCACATGGAAGAGATTCCAAGAAGCAGATAGAACCTGCCCACATTCCACCATATCCAGCCTCTATGGCAGGGGTGTCAAACTCAAGGCCCATGGTGGAGTGCTTAGATCTGGCCCATGGGGTCACCCTGGAAACTGCAAAGGACCAGCCTGTGGTGCCTCTGCCAGTGAAAACAGAGCACGGGAGGGCCACACACGGCCTCCTAGGCTCCGTTTTTGCTTGCAGAGGGCTAGCCAAACTAAAGAAAACAAAAACAAAAGGAGAAATGTTTCCCCTTTTGCATCTGAGCATCCAAGAAGGGACAGGAAAGGAGAAAGGGAAAGGGGACAGACCCACCCCCCGAGGTCAAACACAACCCTGATATGGCCCTCAATGAAATCGAATTTGACACTCCTGCTCTACAGCGACCAATACCAAAACAAGAGGCATCTCCATCCAATACTGACCTGGAGAATACCTCTGCGCATCTATGGAAGAATGTACAATTGTTGTCAAAGGAAATGATTCACCATATTTTGTGAACCCAGCTTTCCCTTTTTCCTCCCAAAGCACCAAGAATTATTTATTATTTTGCTCTGAGAAAGCCAGCACACACTTTAAAATGTATATGCTTTGTTTGCATGCCTTTTTTAAAAAAACAGATGCGTTAATTAAAGAGGAGGAACACCTGCTTGTTTCCTTCTGCGCAGGAAATGAACTTCCTTTCTACATAGGAATGTACTGGTGTTTATAATAATAGCGTGCCTTTAACTACTTAGGAAAGAGAAGCAAATCTAGGGCAAAATGTGTTCTGCTTGAACTCAAGCTGACCTACCTGGGGGTTGTAAGATACTATTGACTGCATAAATCACACCATTGGTGGCCATAATATCAGCTTCGGCAACAGGAATCCTGTTGATGTTTATTACGTGGTTTCTCTGAAGTAGAAAAGGTAGAGATAAATTGTCAAAGCATATGAAGAAATGAGATGACAGAACATAAACTAATTTGCAAAAATCTAATATATAAGTAGATTGTAATATTCATATAGGCAGGGGTGTTTTTTTTTTTAAATTAAGGTTGCTTCTGCTATTGACTGGTTTCGGATATTTTGTTCTCACAAATAAAAGCTGGAGCAGGCGATGTTTCAAAGAAGTACAGGGTCAGTTATATACATGTTTTTCTTTGCACAAATGCTGGGTGGGGTTGTGGAAGCTTGGCCGGAAGTAGGCACTCAGTGACAGAGCTCTCTGGGTGATTCTAGGCCAATCACGATCTATCAATAGAGGAGAATATTTGTAGCTCAGGGGTTGAAATGAGGGCTCCTTGGTGTTCTCTGAGCTTCATTGTTTTCTAGCAGATGTTTCATTACCCAATCTTACCTATAAGTGATGTTACCTCGTTTGGGTAATGAAATGTCTGGAAGGAAACAACCAAAAAGTCAGAGAACAGTAAAAACCTTTCAGTCACAGTCTCTTAGCCCAACTTAAGAAAATGAGAGGAAAAATATCACTGATCTTGCCTTGAGCTTTAATGGGAAAGGTAAGGTAAAACACAGTAATAATATTGTCTCAAGAAAAGTTCTGCTTTGCCACACCATTATAAACCCATTCTGAAGCCCTAGCCCAAACTGAGAAATGGAGTAAATTAGTGTTTATATAGTGTGCATGCACACACACACACCCATACACACACAAACCTTGATTGGGCTGTGGTAAATGCTACTTATAACTCATTGGTCTTTCTCTGTAAGGCAGATTCTGATTTTCAAGCCTCTGTCTTTGGCTAGGCCAATAAACTAATTAAAGGTTTTTATTGCTGAACTACTCTTTCTCAAACACAGAATTTACAAAAAACATTTAAAAGTGCAGAGCTGCTTAACATCTTTGCATTAGTATCACTAAAACTCACTTATCTGGAACTATGTGTGGGAGAGTCTTATTTTAGTTCCATCCTCCGTAACATACAAATAATTTTTTTTTCTAAACCTTATATAATCAGTGCAATATAAAAAATAGTTGTCATTCCCAACCAACCAGCAGGTCTTGCTTTGAGACTACATGGCAGAAAGAATGAAAACCGTGGAAGGGTAAATGAATGCTAATCTTGAATAATAAAGACAATGTCCACTGGGAAAAAAAACAGATTTTCCCCTAACATTAGACTTTAATAGTTTTACTTCCTAAGGCTCCATCTGGCAACCTCCAGTCTGCTAAATCCTAGTGGCCTTTAAAAAAAAAAATTAAAGGTGATATAAATTTAGTAGCTGTTCTTTAAACTGCATTCCGACAGATTGAGCTACAATAAAAAAATATCTTTTTTTAAAAAAGGGAGGGCAACATCATAAACTTACAGAGCTGACTTCCAGTTTATCACCCTGCAGAGACTTGATTCTTACAACAGCACCAACTGCTCCGCTCACTAAAATTTCATCCCCAATGTGGTACTTAAGGATGTTGGCAAGTTCTTTTGCATTACCTAGGACAGGAAGGAAAGGTAGGAGGAGACCAATCATATTTCAGGTTTATAGCTTATTTCCCATATTTCGTGGTAATTAAAAAACAAAACAAAATATCATATTGGCAGTGTTCATAAGCAAAGTATCAAAAGTGTTCCCTTTACATTAAACCAAGCAGCTGTTTCCCGTCTAGTATTTCTATCAAGATTCCCCTAGACAATCATAGCAATTCCTTCGACCTAATAAACTGTTTCACACTCTGCAGCTGGAGCACTTTGGGCAACAGCAGGAGGGATACAGTGCCCCAAACAGAAAGAAACACATTTATTCATGTTAGGTGCAAAAAGTGCAAAAAAAAAGACTTGAATTTTGGGAATTCTATACAAGAGGCCAAACTGTCCTCTCTTTTTAGGTCAAATGCTAGTTTGGCGTAAACCTGCTTTGCCATTTTTTTTCTGTCCCATTGACATAATTAGCTGCTCTTCCTGTTCCTTGCATATTTTTAAATAAACGAGAATGGCAGTACATACTGACACTGAATCCTTACATCTGGTGTATAAAATTGCTTTTTGGCAAAAGTTTCTAAATGTGGCCAAAAATAGCTGGAAGATTGAGAGCAAACACTATTCTATATTTTTTAAGGGCAAAACTGAATCTCAAATGGAAGTCTAAAAAATAGATAATTCATTCCCCCTGGCCCAAAGACTGGTAGACATGGAACTACAATATATTTAGCATGAAAGAGCAGTATTTATCTTTGATCTCTGGGAAAATGTTGGGCTCAGAACTAATGATTGAATTATCTAATGTATAATTATTGAATTATCTGGGCATTGTGAATTTGAGGATAATGATGGTTTAGCTTTCCTAAAGATAAAATGTTGAGATCTTTAGATACAGAAACAATAAGAGGCAGGTATTTTACAATACCATCTATATCACATTCAAATTGCTAACATGTTTATCAGATTTTTGATACAGCCAGTCAGTCAAATCCAGGGGCCCCAACTCCACTCTAACTATCACATGGACAGTCAGAAATCTGTCATTCTATGGATCAGCTTGTTTCACAGAACTTTGCTCTCCACTTTCTATTTGTATTCTGTATTTTCCTACCTATGACTGATCACTTTCAGAAAGAGTAAGCTAAACATTTGCTTATAAAGCATAAGAACATTTTGACTGATCCTGGGATTTTTCAGCATCTCAACTGCTTATAGTAGCTACAAATCAATTACAAAGTATTTCTAAACAATAGAACAAATGTGCAGAATGCTGCTCTAGGAACTTACAAAGGATAGTCAGCGCTCATATGTTGATATCTGCTTTATTACAATGTCTCCAAACTAGTTTCAATAAATAAAATATAAATTCATATTATTTCAAACCCATAATTAAATATTCTCTGCACAAGCCTGAATGCTTCATTACTTGGAGAAAAGATGACTGAAATATTCATGTCTCCTGTCCTAATATGGCTTCATATTGATTATTTTCAAGTGACCATTTCAGCTAATGTGTATGATATTACTATATTGAACCTACACATTTTTGACCATATTATTATTGCTGGAAAATATCTGGATTGTGACTGGAATTTTGGATGACTTCACAATCAGCTGTGCATGTATAGTCTATGCTTCAGTGGGTGAATCAGTTCTATTAATGGATGTGGATCGGTTGCAGGAAAATCTTACTACATATATTCGTGAGTAATGGTAAAAATATAAGTTTTCTGGGTCATTATTTTAGTGGAGTTAGTAAAAGTGCACTTCTTTCTTGTGAGAAAATGGAAAAATACATAAGATATTATAAATTTAAATAAATACTAATGTAACAAAGGCTAATAGAGTACCAATTTGTAAAAGCATCAGTCTATGTTTTAGTCTAATAATATTTCTGTACACTATTTTTTCACTAGTATATCAAAGGGAAGCTGTGTATTTTTGAGGCTGAAACAAAATAAAATATTGGAAGTTTACTGGAAGGCTGAGAATAAGTAGTATAAATATAATTGATCAATAAGAACTTGGGAAGTTACCCATAAGTCTGTTTAGCTCCCTCTGAGGCATGGCTTGAAAAGCTTCATTTGTCGGTGCAAACACTGTGAAGGATCTTGGCCTATTCAGTGTTTCAGTTAGGCCTGCAGATTGGATGGCAGCCACCAGGGTACTGTAAAAAAAATCACAAATGAACAGAAATCCTTGGTTAAGAATTACAAGTTTCCAAAGGCAGTATAAAATATCACAGCTACAATGCAGTAGCCCCAATCTTTACATGAAGTTCCTGAGCAAGTGACTTATTCGTTCGTTTCAGAATTCACATACCTATAATAAATTGTTGAACTGGAGCAAAGTGATTAAGGAAAATTAGCAATGATTTTTAAGCTAAGACTTCCCGGCAGATTGGTTGTTTAATTTTTTGAGAAGCCTGGTGTACAGAGACTTTTATCTTTGCAGTTCACAAACTGCTTTCATTAGAACAAAAGCATCTTAGTGGCCTATCTGGCAAATTTGCTCAAGATGTCTGAGATCCAAAAAGGATTCAATGAACGTTCTTGGTTAACTTCAGGGAAGCCTGTGTGAGGTTTCAAAAAATAATAATAATAACATGGCAGTTGTGACTCCAATATCAAAGGCCTGTCTTTTTTTTTATGCATGTTGATGTACATAAAAAAATGATTTGTTTAGATTGTGTGGTTGTGACCACTATCTTGACTTCTTGACCGCTTGTAAAGATGTCAGTGGTTAACTTCCTGTCTAAACTCTGTGAAAATAGTTTTTTTTTAAGGCTGAATGTAAATCTGTAAAACCACCAAATGTATTTTAAAAAGCAAGCAAAAAAGCAACCTCTAAGAGACCCAACTTCTATAGATCTTCCTTTAGTATAGGTCTATGAACAGCTGATAGCACAATAGGGAGAAAGGGAAGGGGGAGTTATTGTATATTTCATATTTTTTTCCATTTTTTTTTATTTCAATCTACATATAACAACAATACATTAACAGTGTGGCATCAATATATCATACATCTCTCATTGCATTATATTCATATTAATTCATAATTCTTCAATATATATTTTCAACCTTACTCTCTCCAAATGCCTACCACCATATCAATTAAACATACCTAATAATTCCATTATTCAATTTTCTCCGTTTTTCATTTTATTTTATTTTTAATGAAAAATTCACATCTCAATATGAACATGACCATACTTACCTATTTTATGTTTCATATTTCCATCCAGCTGTTCCCCACCCCCCGGCTTGCATGCATGCTCACGCATACACACTCACTCACACACCCACTTGTGAAAGCTAACCCAAGGGTCAAAGCTTCTTTATGTTAATCAGTTTGAAGAGGTGGGGCATAGGAAGATGTAGCAACTGTACACAGATATCCTGTTCTCTTTTTCTGTCATAGGACACAGCTTGTACAGAAGGTTTAACAGATAGCAACAGGTTTGGTAAGCTTACAGTTATCTTTCTGCAAATAGAGAAGGACGACAACTTTTGGCTGTAAGTGTGTGCCAATATTTTAACACAACAAATGTCATTTAGGATTGCATTAGGCGCATTAGAAGAGGTGAAGCAGATTCCTCTCAGAAACTTTGGAGTGTCACTACCAGTCAATAGGGACAATAATGAATCAGATGAGCCAGTAATCTGATATAGTTAAAAATAACTTCTGTTTCCTGCTTATTTTTTTTAATATATAAGAGAAATACATACAGGTAGTTCTCACCTTACAATCATAATTGATCCCAAAGTTTCTGTTGCTAAGTGAGTCATTTGTTAAGTGAATTTTGCCCCATTTTATGATCTTTCTTGCCATATTTGTTAAGTGAATCATTGCAGTTGTTAAGTTAGTTATATGGTATTAAATGAATCAGGCTTCCCCATTGACTTTGCTTGTCTGAAGGTTGCAAAAAGTGATCACATGACCCCGGGACTCTGCAACCGTCATGAGTTAGTTGCCAAGCTTCTGAGTTTTGATCATGTGACCATAGGAATGCTGTAATGGTCGTAAGTGTGAAAAACAGTCATAAGTCACTTTTTTCAGTGCCGTTGTAATTTTGAATGATCACTAAATTGACTGTTGTAAGTCGAAGACTATATTTAAAACCTAAGCTTTATGTTTGTATATACATATATATACTTGTATGTTGTAAATAGAAACAATTAGCTTCTCCAAACAATCCTTACAGAAGCAAAACTGTTTTTCCTACTCTACTGCTTGTAAAATAAGAAGAAGAAGGAAAACTATTACCTGAAGCGATCATCTGCTTTGAGTATATCCATAACAGTTCCCATAGGGGGACTTAGCAGCTTGTCCATAGCAAACAAGGTACCAAATCTTCCTCTCTTGTCATGAGCAGCAATGCAGGCATTTTCTATGCAGAGATTCTACAAGAGGGATTGCATAAATTTGGAATGTGTAACATTTTACCAAGTTTGGTCCTAATCAGGACCAAACACAACTGCCTCCTATTATTTATCTAAATCATATGAATAAATGAAGATAAACATCCCCCTTCTACTTGTACCTCCCTATGGGCTTTCAAAATATGCTTTGAGGAAGCCACAAACTTCTAGAATAAATGATAAAGGTGCCCCAAAAGTTACAGTGAAACAATAAAAAGGAAGTGCAGTTAAGCCTCCACTCTTAAGAAAGAGCTTTGATATACATTTGCTCCCAGTTGCATTCTGCTGATCAGTTCAACATTGTTTGAAAAAGCTTTCCAGTGAAAAAGAAAGATAAAAATAAGTAGTTTTTTCTGAATCAGGAACAGAATGTGTCTTCTACTACATATAAATTATTGGCTATAGAATAGGAAGGTCGATATACCAATCATGAGGAGACATGATAGCGGTCTTCCAATATTTGAGGGGCTGCCACAGGGAGGAAGGGGGTCAAGCTATTTTCTAAAGCACCTGTAGGCCAGACAAGGAATAATGGATGGAAATTGAACAAGGAGAGATTTAACCTGGAAATAAGGAGAAACTTTCTGACAGTGAGAACAATCAACCAATGGAATAGCTTGCCCTCAGAAGTTGTGGGAGCGCCATCACTTGAGACTTTCAAGAAGAGATTGGACTGCCCTTTGTCAGAAATGGTGTAGGGTCTCCCGCTTGAGCGGGAGGGGGCGTTGGACTAGATCACCTACAAGGTCCCTTCCAACTCTGATTATCTGTATCTGGAATATCTTTATATATGCTGCCAAGAGTTATTTGGGGGAAAGTTATAATCTGCAGGCTGCAGACATATTATAGCATAAAACATAATAGTTATCTCCCAGTTGGGTTCTGTATATGTTTACAAACTATCAAAACATACTATAAGACTTAAATATCAAACTAGCAGTAATTATTAAAGAGAAACATACATTGCGGTATACAAATACTCTCAATTCTTTTCCACCCAAAGTTTCTAGCTTCTGTCCATGGAAAAGATATTTAGAAGAAAGCTGCTCTTTGATTATATGATTTTGAAGCAAATTTCTGTTTGCTGAAGGACTGTGATCTGCAGAAAAATAATAATAAAACCATTATTCATACATTCAGATCAGCACACAGTCAATTGCTTTCATTTGAAAATACATACAGACGGGAGCATCTGTATGAGATGACAAAGGTGGCAAATTATAAAAGCCGTGCTACGATGCAATTCTTCCCTTTTACACATGCATCGAGATTTTGCACACACGTACCAAAAGGCATATGTTGCAACATTGCAATAGAGCTTTCATCATTTTAACCAATCCTGTGGATGCCTCTGCATGAAAAGGTCATGGAAACAAAATCAGCATTTCCTTCAACTTTCTCTCCCTCTCCTTCTCTGCAATAGTCTAAGCAATGAACAGCAATTGCATTTTTCAGCCTATTTACAGCAGAAATCTCACAATTTTCCATCTACTCCTCCCCACCCATGTTCAATTCCTCCTAGGTTGTTACCAGATAGATATTCTACAAAAAAAAAATCATTCTAGGTTTTGGCTGGCATGGTGATGGTGGTATGAAAACCCAAATACTTGAGGACTTTCCATTATGATGGCCTCCAGATATGTTGAATTGACAACCTACCACCCAATTTATTTTATTTATTGTTTACTTAGAGTACTTTTATACTACTCAATTCGATCATGAAAGCTTACAGTTTATGCTAATAGCTTAGAACATATCTATTCTATCTGCAAGCATTTGCTGTCACGTAAATTTGCATGCACTAAAACCCACTTTGATAAGATATAATTATATACTAAGGATATTTAGGATGTTGTATACACTATTTTATCCTCTTTCTCCCCATTTTCTGTCCCACTGCTCCAACAATTGATCAACAATCTATTTTAATATGATAGATCTACACTGGGTCATTTTTAAATCTTTAACAAGATTTATGTTTAACGTTTTGACTCTCTTATGTATAAATGACCTTGTTTTAACCAGCTAAGAATCAACTTTAGGAAAATGTGTGTGTGTGTGTGTGTGTGTGTGTGTGTGTGTGTGTGTGTGTGTGTAATTGAGAACTATTACAAATCCTGAATTCCAGCAAAAAAGAGTAGGATTGGATATGGTTTTGTAATGCAATCCTACTAATTAAAAATTATTCTTAGCAGTTAATTCAAGTAGAAGGCACATCCAAAGGCACAATTCCAGGCACGGGAAGAGGGATGTGCTTTCCACCTCTCCCTCCATTTCAGCTTGTTGATTGGACATGAGGCACTTAATGACAAACAGATCTCACTGTATAAGAGTTCAAGTATACAAACCTTTGTAGAAAGAATTGATGGGAGCCAGGACTGTCAAACGCTCATTCCCAGTAAGATGTGAACCGAGACCAGCTTGTCTAAAAAGGTCAATAGATGTTGAAACATCGGATTCCTTTCCCAACTCCAGCAGAGTTTTAGCTTCAATTAAAATAACAACAACAGATGTCAACATGGATTTCATAATTATTATACATATTAAAACAGTACCTGATAAAGGGGCAGGATTGTATTTGTTAAAACTAAAAATAATAATCATACTAAGTGTGCTCAGTGAATTCAACAGGGCATTGTTTTTTGTTTATTTGTTTGTTTTATTTATTCATTAAAATTTCTATGGCTGCCCCTCTCAATCGACTCTGGGTAGCTTATAATTCAGAAAATACTACATTACAATTAAAATTCTAAAAACATTTTAAAACACTAAAAATATCCCGATACATGGGAGCAAGGTATTTGGCCAGTTAGCAATACAGACAAGAAACTGGGCCCTTCACACACTCAGCAGTCCAGACACAGGAGCATAGACAAGTTTTTAGGGCCTTACAAAAGACTAAGATTGGGGGCACTTTAATCTCCCAAGAGAAGATAATCCATAGAGTAGGGGTCACTGTGGAAAAAGCTCGTTTTTTTGGTCCCTGTCAACTGATACTCTTTGGCTGTCAATATTTGCAGCATGCCCATTCTACTTGATCTCGTTGGGTGAGTAGAGATTCTTGGAAAAAAGCAATCCCTCAAGGACCCCATGACTAATTTGTCATGACTAATTCCACTGGTTTCAGTGAGAGCAATTTAGGCCTAATTAAATTTGGATCAAAACAGTTTCAAAATTATTCAAAAACAAATCATTCTTCGTGTTTTTAGTTTCTTCCATGTTTTGTTTAAACAGAAAGAATTAGCACTGCCATTCCGTATTTCTCCTTATTTCATTTTAGAAGTTGAAAATGATAATTTTTTTAATGAAGTAAAGCATCTTCCTAATTATACACAACCTTTGTCAAGGTGAAAAATATCTAGTTTTAGCCTGATTGTCTCTTGCCCATTTTCATAATTATATCTGCCTGAAAGTAATTTGCGGCTTTTTTTTTTTAACAATACCTACCACTTCTCAAAAGTATAGGGAACATGCAAGGATCAGAATCTCTATGAACAAGGAAGCGTACATTATAGCATGGGCATAAACTATATGCAATTTCCATTTTCCTATTTCACATTCATTTCAAATGGGCAAAAATGAATAGTTCCATAAACCATGTTGGAAGAAGAGGAGGAGGAAGAGGGTGTTTACCAGAGTCTGGGATGAGAAGTTCATTGATCATGTGTATCACTCCATTTGTGGCCATTACATCCTTGTCAGCAATGATGGACTTTCCATTGAGAATCAGCTGGTTGCCAACACAGCTTACTTCCAACATATGACCCTCTAGAGTTTCCATGGATAAACCGGCAATAATAGCTTCAGCGCACATAGCTGTTTTTAAGATGTGGTTGTTCAGCAGTGCTATGGTAGGTGAATAGAACATAGTAAGCAGAATATTTTTTAAAATAGTTTGTACATCTCTTCTAGTGATTGGTAAGCCATGGAGTGAAAATTAAATAATATTTCAGAACAACGGCAGGCTGACATGCTTAATATGTTTGTTTATAAATAAGCAAAATAGTCAAGCTAAAACAAATCTTGCAAATTGCTCAGTGCAGCTTTCTCTAATCTAATGCCCTCCTGATATGTTGAATCTACAACTCCTAGAATTATATCTGGAGGATACGCTGAGAAGGGTGGACTCATTGTTTTTGTTCATTGCATATATAAAAAAAGAGATGCTT